CTTGATAGTCGAAGCAGACCTTGTGCTGTTGAAGCAAGAGAGGTGAGCAGAATAAGTCTGATTCCCTGTAAAGACTTCTCTGTTGACACCCACCCCTTGGCGCTCATATGACCTTATGCAGTTGCAAACGCCGTAAAACCTTCTACTATAAAAACAACGGACTGGATATTTTTAAACAGTTTAGTGAGTTGGTTATTTTCAGGCGTCGTCAGCTGAGCAGAAAATGTTCCTTCGTCCAAGGGAAAAGTGCCCTTCGATATGACGCTTGACTTCAACTTTTTTTAAATGCCAGAAAAGACAAGTGGGTTTGTCTTGTTTTCAAAATCTCACAGTCCACTAACATAAAAAAGCATAGAGGAATAAACACAAGAAATATATAAACCAACATACAAAAAACGGAAACATCAACAAGCACAAAGAACAACACAACAAAAAATAACACAAATTGCACCAACCAACAAAAACGAACCAAAATAATACAAAACGAAACAAATCAAGAAAAATAAAACCTTTCAGCCAATCACTTTTTTTTCAGCGTAGCACGGCCCCTTGTCATCCTCAGTGGTTTTTGCTTATAAATGTAAAGAAAACTCTCATCTTTTCTGTTCCATTATCAAAACACCCTGTGTTTTTTATCCTTTGCATTATTCAGGTCGTTTATTGCAGCATGCCTTCCAGAAACCGGTGCCATTCAAAAGGCATTTGGGTTAGAAGGAGACTGTCGATCTAGATAGTGCGCATAATATAGAGTGCAACATAATCATGTGGAAGAACCGTAAGGGTTTAGAAAAGACGGGGAGCTTTTCATTATTTCCATCGAGCCGATGGAGATTCGTTTTCATTTTTTTTGTCTTTCTTTCTGTCATTCTGTCTTTCTTTCTTTATGCCTTTCTTTCTTTCTTTCCTTCTTTCTTTCTTTCCTTCCTTTCCTGTCTTTCTTTCCTTCCCTTCCTGTCTTTCTTTCCTTCCCTTTCTTTCTTTCTTTTCTGAGAAAGGAGAACGAATGGAAAGGGGGGGGGGAGTAGGTTTATGGTTTCAAGAGAAGTATTGATGACATGTTTTGTATGATAAGACGACATTAAGACATCAGACAGACGGAAATTATATATCGGAAAGAAAGAATTGGGGTTAGCCAACGGCATTCTTTGCAATTGCTGGTCTCTATTTTGTATTATCGTTGTCGCTGTTGTTGTTGTGATCTTGTTGCTCCCTTTTTTTAATTTGTAGAAGTCTGTGTGACCACGTCTTATATCATCGTTAATTATACCACTACGCTCCATCGTTTTAACTTCGAGTATTTTGATATTTTCATAATAGCCCCCTTCACTTATTAGGAGAAAATGAAAGACACCTTCAAATAAAAGTGAGGACGAGGTGTGGGTGTGTGTGGTTAAGATCATCATCTTCATCATCATCGTCATCATCATCATCATCTCCATCATCATCATCATCATCATCATCATCATCATCATCATCATCATCATCATCAAGTGCCGCCAGATCTGCGACAGACATCGGCAATCATGGTTCTCAATTCATTCCTTTTGTTCGGATGCTCTTGAAAAAGCTGCATTACCCTGATCTTTCCCCGTTAATCATAATAATATTATGTTTAGGTTCTCCAAGCAGGTTACTGTGGGCCTTTGAACCCTGCCTCGTTTGCCTTCTATTTTGCCAGTGAGAGCTAGATGTTCAAGGCTTTACGTCTATTCGGGTGTCCCAAAAACTGCGTATTATGTTTAGACTATACTTTAAAAAATATAAAAACTTGTGTATGTCTCCAGATGCAACGAGTGACGAAGGACAAATGTTTGGAGATTATCAACAAGTTTGAGCCGTCCACAGAAGGCCGTCGGAAAGGACAGCTTGGCATCGACGGTGAGTGCTCATTCCTCCTTGTTTTAACATATACATTGTAAGCCCCCCATTATCAGAACTCAGAGCAATTAGAAGACGGGGTGCTTTGACCCTGCCAACCCGGGCTGAGACTCGGTGGTTGAAGATCTGAACTTCACTCAGCAGCCTGCAGCGCAGCCCAACTTGTTTACCGACGGCAGTCTTGCTCTGCACTTCTGTCGCGCCATTCTGGAACCACGGGGTCTAATCCGAGTTTTCTGTGGGCATAAATCAGGACTTGTTGCTTTTATTGGGAAATGTGTTGTCCAAAGTAATCTCGTGTTCCATCTCTGAGGGATCCGAAGTCAGACAAGAAACCAATATAATATTGATCAAAGAGCAGAATGAAAAGGCGCAACGCGATTTCGGAATCAGAAATTGAATCAGATGTGTTATGTAGGCGTCATTGTCGGCGGCCTCCATTGCTTGGTGAGATTTCAAGGCGGGTAAGTGCAGAGTGAAGAGGGAGAGAGAGAGAGAGAGAGAGAGAG